ATAAGAGCCCTTTGGCAGCGAGGACGTCACCTGCAGAACTCCTGGCCAGCCCCAGACCCTCCCTCCCAGGCACCCAGCACTTTAAGTCAGCCCAGGGAGGCAGAGAGGCCCGGCAAGCACAGACACTGTGACGGAGGGGCCCACGGTGCAGACAGGACAGGACAGCAGGAGGGACCTGGGGGCTGCGGGACACTACGGCCTGCTCGTGCTGGGCCCCACATGGGGGACCCTGGCCTCATCGGCAGGGCCTTCCGCCCAGGCCGGCCTTAATGCTAAAGCCAAATGCAGCTTTTATTGTGCGAGGCGCTCCCTGGTCATCACGCCTGGCCGTCCCCAGTCCAGCCTCCACTTGCCTCGTGGGATTGATGGATCTGGGGGCTGGGAAGGCCTGCCCAGGCTCTGAGTGGTCATACCCATGCCACAGTGAGTGGGAAGGTTTCAAGGAGCAAACCAGGAGCCCGGAGTGGCCCAGGGCCCCCCAGGAGTCACGGGGCTCAGATGCCCTGATGCCTTTGCCCTCCTTCCTGAGACCCTGCCGGGGCTGCCAGGTTACCCAGGAGGGGCATCAGGAACAGGCTAGGGCCACTCTGTTGAGGATGCAGGGGATTATTCTACCACTGGACAGGAGTGCAGTGTAGGTAGGTACTGGGACACTCCCCGCCTGCTTGTGTGGGTACAGGTGGAGGTGGCTGGGTGTGAGTGAGCGTGCGCAGGGGGCAGTGGTGTGCACAGGGTTGGCTGAGCCTGCCCAGCGTCCCCTTGGTCAGGGAGGCTCAAGCTTGTCACTTTGCTCAGACCAACACATAGTCTTCCTGTTTTACACTTTTTTAATAAACATAATTGCAATATTTTAGGTGGGCTGCTAGCAAAAGTATGCCTCCGGCCTCAGTCCCTCTGTGTGCGTGCGTGCGTGTGCACGCATCGACACGTACATCTACACATACGGAGCCTTAAACTACGCCGTGGTGGTGCCCTGAGCTAGAACTGATCGTTTTCATTCCACGATTTTTGTATCCATGTTCTTGTCTCTCCCCCTCCTCCGGTTGGGGACTCGTCAGTGCTCCATGCCTTGAAATAAACGGACAGACATGTGTGTGTTCTCTTCTTGGGGGACTTCTGGAAATGAGAGGGTCTTCCCACGGAGAGAGTAAAGGCCAATGTGGAAGCATCCGGTCCTGGACGTGCTGAGGGACGAAGGTGGAGGGAGAATGGGGGTAGCATTATAGGGAGCTGTGGGAAGCCGGCACCCAGGAACTGGGTCCTGTCACCCAGCTGACAAAGGCTGAGCACATGCTGGCAGTGCTGCTGTCCAAACACGATGGGGAGCCTCCACGTGGGTGGGCGGAGGGGGTGAGCACAGCCCTGCTCCGGAGGCCCAGCTTGCCTGGTCACAGCCCTTCCACATGTAGGGGAAAACTCGACCGGGCCTGTGGCCAGCATCACTAGTACTCAGCACCAGTTCCAAGGGAAGGACATTCCCTGTGCTGGGACAGTCCATTGCCCCTGAAGGAGGGAGTCGGCACCTGACCGCAGAACCCACATATGACAGCCAAGGGGGACAGCAGCTCACCAGTGACCCCACATGGAGGGTATAAGGTGAGAAGCAAGGCCCTGGGCACCACCTCCCTTAGTCCCCCATAAGAGCCCCCAAGGTCCCAGGAGATGAGGTTCCAGCTGGACCCAAGAAGAATGGGACCAGCAGTTAGTGTAATGGCCATGTCGCTAAACTCCCATGTAGTCGACCGCAGTTCAAGTCCCACACCCGGTGGCTTAAACTCACGCCGGGCGCGTGTGCATGCATACCCAAGATCCCGAGAGGAGAATGGAGGAGGAGGGATTGCGGCGTGGCCATCCTCCCTGGGGTGGGGGGGGTGACTTCTTGCTTTCTGTCTCTGTCTTTCTGGCAAGTGCACGCGAAAATTATAAAAAAAAAAAAAAAAAAAAAAACGGGCAAGCACTGCCAACCCAGCTTTCCCCAGGAGTCTCAGTTCTGCTTCAGACAGCCTGGGCTCTCAGGACCAGCCCCACACACCCAGGGACAGTGCTCCAGGCCCAGGTCTGCAGTCCCCACACTGAGGCCACAGCCCTGGAGTACACAGTGCACAGAGCCAGGGACTCCGGGTAGTAGTTTTCTGCATTTTGAGTCCAGGGCGGGTTACCCTTGACATTCCCATGCCCGTGTGGATAGGAAGCCACTGAGCCCTGGGCCCTGGCGAACCAAAGGCTGCCTAGGGACCAGAGATCTGGCGCAGTCTGCCCTGGCGTCATCCTTCCTCTGGGTGTAGGAGGCCACAGGCCAGGTCTTACATTGTCACACAGCCAGGAAGACGGTCTGGGTCGCCTGCACAATCCTATCTTTGATATGCAAAGCAATCAACCTGAAGAAAACAGCCAACCCAGGAGGGAAAAAAAGAGAGAGAGACCAGTAGGGAGCCCTGTGCAAGGCTAATCCTAAAGGAATAGCTGACCCTGAAGGCCACATCATGACCCCAGTTGCTGTGAACACCAGGGTGAAATTAGGCATTATCCGGAAGGACTGCACATCTGTTCGCCTGGGGTGACCTAGTTCCAGGACTGATGGGGCTGCAGACTTCGGGGTACAGGCCAGCGAGGCGGCACACAGATGGGCAGGGGAGCGGGTGCTCCTCACACGCGTATGGGCCCCATCCAAGGCTTAGCTGTAGCTCTATTTTTTTTAAATGAAGAGATATTTTATTTCCTTTTTTTTCAAATAAGTTTATTTATTTATTTATTTTTAATTTTAGCAGAGAGGGACAGAGTGATAGAGAAGAAATGAGAAAGTAAGCCGCCAGGTCTGAGACTTGAACCACAGTAGGCCATGTGGGAGTTCAGCGCCCTTAACCACCATGCCACCTGCCAGCCCTAAGATATTTTATTTCTATCCGTAGGAACTGAACAGGTGGCTACAGTGGAAAATGGCGAACATGTGAAGTTAGGGAGAGCCCAGTCAGCGGCGGCAGGGAGTTTGGGATTAAATGGCAATATGCTGAACAAATAAGCTATAGGCTGTTTGAAACCTGAAAATGCCCTTTTCCACGTCCTCCACGATTTCGATTCCATTTGTAAGCATGTTGTTCTTTCCTTTTAATGCTTTAACAAGTGATTTCCCTCCTATAGAAATCCTTATGAACCCAGAGACACTTCTCTCTGGAACTTTCCTCTACTCCCAGAACCAGCCCCAGTGGGTTCACCCTTGCAGACTCTGTGGCTAAGACAGGAAGTAAGATCTGAACTCCTGTTTAGAAACTGTGTTGCCCTGACAACAGCTGGTGAGAGCCCAGGGAAAGGGGAGGACACGCCCCTTCTTAACCCTTTATAATCCCGGGTGCTAGGGGCAGGAGCTCAGGGTGCCATGGAGCTGCTCTCTGGCCCTGTGCTGCTGGGGATGCTGCTGCTGCTTCAGGCACAGGTGAGCACAGGCTGCCCGGGGAGGGATAGAGGGTGGCGGAGCGGGGAGAAGGCTGTGGGACTGGGAAGGACAGTCAGATGAGGGGAGACCCTGAGAAGCAGGAAGTAGGCTGAGCCCGGTGCGCCTGCGCGGACTGAGGCGGGTGCAGGCTGCAGGACCACCTCGGAAAGACTGGAAGTTGAGATGTGGAGTGCAAAGGAAA